TCTGAAACTAAATTGTTCCAAAGGTAGTATGTTAAAGTAGCAAGCGAGCATAGATAATTTTCTCATAAATCTTTCAGAGGCCTGAGAGCAATCTAATTGGATGGTAGCCATCCCGCCTGGTTATCTCTTTTCCTGGTTTTGGTAGTAGAATGATCTTGGCAAGCTTACAAGCACACGGGAAGTAAGAATTTTCTAAACTGGCGTTGATGATGCTTATGAAATGAGTAATAATATTGCGGGGAAGATTCTTAATGGCCATATTCGAGATAATGTCATGCCCAGGAGCTTTTCTTTACTTCTGAGTCTTGATAATATCCTGCACTTCTGCTGGAGTGGTGAACTGAGCCCTTTTTCTGACACTAGGTGCATTTATCCAGTCTTTTACAAAGTAGCGAACATCATACATGAAGCTATAGTCATAGTGTAAGTCATTTGGTTTAAATTTCTGTTCAAGATGATCAGCGAGAATTTCCGCCTTGGCTTTGTTGGTCAGTGCAATACAATTATTGCTATAAATAGGCTTATTCAGAGTGGAACTATTTTTGAGGCGCTTAACGAAGGACCAAATGTCCCCGTTAGGTTCGTTCAAAGTGAGTATTTTTTTCTCCCATTTTTCTTGTCTGAATTTGTAAATATTCTCTTTAATAACTCGATTTAGCTTATTTAGCTTTTTTTTTTTTTTTTTTTTTTTTTTGTGGGCTGGGTTTCAAGTCTTATTCCAGATTTTTCAGAGCTTATTCCTTTCTCTGATTTGCTCTCAAATAAAAGAGAGTAGTCTATCCACACCATGATTGGCCGGGAGTTTACGAGTGGTACTGGTAATTGCATGACTAATAGAATTGGTAAGTCTGTCAATAGCAATGTCTATATCCTGAGGAGTTTTAAGCTTAGGCATGCTGGTGATCTTTTTGCTAAGAAGCTGATTGAATAATGTCCAGTCAGTGAAATTGATTTCCTTTTCCGGGAAGCTTTTAGTCGTTTAGAGTAGCAATAATCGGGACATGGTCCAAGGTCATTTCCTGCTTAACTTCTAATACATGGATATAGAAGAAACAGCCAAAATTAAATCCAGAAGGTCAGCCTTACTGGGATTGCTTGGAAAATAAGTGCAATCTTCCAGAGAATAGAATGAAACAGGGTTATTCATGATGAAATTATGTAATTTAGTACCATTTTTATTAGTACATTGGAAGCCTGAAACTTCCATGCTTCTAAAACCATCTTTAATTTGTGCCATCAGAAACAGCACTTTGTCCAAATACAGCGTAAATTTTACTAGCAGTCTGATAAACAATTTTCCTCTTTCTAAATAAAACAGTACAATATGCAAAAATTAAACTTCTCAGTTTTCATTCCTTACCACTGTACTGAAACAAAAATTATGACACAACACATGCTAGAATTACATAACATGAGCTAAAAGAATGTATTTACACATCTGCTTCAACCAAGATCAATGCTTTGCTTTGAAAAACTGTAGAACTTTTTAAAGGACCCAATATATAGCACAGCTTAGCTATTTTCCTTTTTCTTTGACTTTCCACCAGAAATTATTATGCTTCTATTAGTTTAACTCAAATAAAAGGTAAACATAGCCCATTAAGAGATTTATAACATCGAAAAAGTCAACTTCACATAAAAAATTACAGCCAAACAGAACATTGCACTCTATAACTTTCTTCCCATTAATTATGTGTTCAATTCTACACTTCCATCAAAAAACTTTTCTGGTAAACCTAGGTGTCACTTTTATCATTCTACAGCATTTTGAAAATTTCTCACAAATGGCTCATTTGGAAGTTGAAAAGTAAGTTTAAATACATTTGTATTTAGTTGTATATTGTCTCTTTTCAACTTTTTATACAGTTAAAAGTCGTTAATTCGGACACCCATAATCCGGAATGATCTATAATCCGGACCTCAAAGCTACAAACTTTCTGCGCATGCGTCGCTTTGACGCATGTGCGTAAGACCTTTACGGCTGCGAATTTGCGTGTGCGTGTGCGCAAAATACGTTTACGAATGCGCGTTTAATGTATAACGGACGGTGTAAGCTAAGCTAAAATTATCTAATTATCTATTTCAGTTAATGTTGCAGATTGCGTTGTTCCTTAATCTTCAAATTGGATCCGGCTTATTATTTTTTGCAGACTGTTAGAGCAATTTTATTAAAGTAAGCTTGAACTTTTGATTATGTCAAATAGAATTTCCGATTTATATTTACTAATATGTAATGGATCTACAAAACGAAAGAATGTTTCGGAGTCCATTAAACAAAAAGTAGAATTGCTGCAAAAAATGAATAAAGGCATATCCTTTGTTTATCTAAACTTTAACGTTTGTTTATCTAAACTTTGTTTATCTTTAACGCCGTGGCGTGCGCATTGAATTGGAAGTTGATCTGTCAGCACTATCCTTGTCTTCAGGGCAGATGTTTTTATTTTATTTGGCTTATAATTGCTTACTAAATGTAGTATTTCATTTCGATGTATTCCGTCTTTGATATGATTTAAATCAAATGCCTTGTCATTATAATTCGCTTCCGACAGCGAAGAAAGTAACAGAGGTTATTGAAAACGAAAAAATTTCGATTGACAAATTAGTCAGTATTCTCGACACAGCAGTTGTAGGACTTGAACAGTGGAACTTCGTAACTGAACAAGAAATTATGTCTGTTTATAGAATTAAAGAGAATGTATTATCATATAAAAAACGAAGCAACTTAAACAACTTACATTGAAAGAAATGTTTAGTAAAGTAAACAAATAAATATTAAGCTTTTTATTTTGTAAATTTTGATACACTTTAGATCATAATTCTTCTTTATTTCGTAAATTACGGTTTCATTCTGCATGCCATTTTACTAGATTTAAACTGATGATCTATAATCCGGAAAAATCGAAACCGGAATCGCCGAAGTCACGACGAGTCCGGATTAACGACTTTTGACTGTATTAGTTAAATGTCTAATTTATTTTGTGTATGCTTATTGTGTTTTACATTGCTTTTTTTTTTTTTTTTTTGTTTTAATTTTTCTCCATTTTTTACATTATTATTATAAATATGTCCCATTATTGCATCGGGAAAACAAATCATCATTAAATACATATTTACACTTTAAATTATTTTAATTTTTTGTTTTTGTGCATAACAAAAGTAATGCATTAGTTTGTATTCAAGGATCAACAATGACAAAATGCAATAATCCCCAAATTACTGTGCTCCTGCTAAAGAAAAATTACTTTTCCTTGAAACGTCAATTTTTCTTTGACAAATTTAAATATAATTTTTTAATTCATTTTTAAATTTTGTTTTTATTGTATTATTATTATTATTATTATTAACATTTCTGTTTCTATAATTTTATAAAGTATCATACATATGTTCAGAAAAACTTTAATAGCATTTTTTAATAGTTACTATTCATCAGTCCAATTTGACTTCTATATTTCACACTTCTAAATTAGTCGCATTGCATATTAACGTGAGTTATTTAAGTTACAGTAAAGAGGTTTGCATCTAATTATTTAACTATTTTATTTATATAATTTTGATTACAATAATGAATATTTAATTATAATAATGAATACAGTCAAAAGTCTTTAATTCGGACTCGTCGGGACTTCGGCGATTCCGGATTATCGATTTTTCTGGATTATAGATCATCAGTTTAAATCTGGTAAGATGGCATGCAGAAATTATAAAATTAAAAATATGAAACCGTAATTTATAAAAATAAAGTGCAATTATGATCTAAAGTGTATCAAAATTTACCAAAAAAAAAGCTTAATATTTATTTGTTTATTTTATTAAACATTTCTTTCAACGCGGAGCAGCGTGAAATTGATAAACAGATTTCGGAGTAGTTAGAGAAACAAAGGATATGCATTTATCCATTTTTTGCAGCAATTCTACATTTTGTTTGATGGACATCGAAACATACTTTCGGTTTGTAGATCCTTTGGCAGCTCCAGAATCGGAAATTCTTTTTGACATAATCGAAAGTTCAAGCTTTCTTTTATAAAATTGCTTTAACAGTCTGCAAAAAATAATAAGCAGGATCCAATTAGAAGATTAAGGAACAACGTAATCTGCAACATTAACTGAAATAGATAATTAGATAATTTTAGCTTAGCTTATACCGTCCGTTATACATTAAATGCGCATGCGTAAACATATTATGCGCATGCGTAAACGTCTTATGTGCATGCATAAAAGTATTACACGCATTATGCATTGACGCATGCACAGAAAGTTTGTAACTTTGAGGTCCGGATTATGGGTGTCTGGATTAACGACTTTTGACTGTATTATTAATCAGTAACCTTCTTAGGATTCCCAACTTTACAAAGCAACAAAAAAGAAGAAAAGATGTTTTGGGCAATCTTTTTCTGAGTTACATCTTTTTCTTAATTTATAAAATGTATGAAAGAGTACAAAAATTTGCTTCACTTGGGGCACTCAAAAGTCTAGATCTAGCCCTGGATGTTGGCAGGTGCATCGTTTCTGATACTTATGGAACTAATTATTTATATAAAACTTAGGTTTTAATTAAATGTGAATAAAGTTATTACTTTAAACAGATCATGCCAAGTTGCATACATAGTTCTGGTGCAAAGAATTTCTTAAGCAAACATTTCCCCACTGATCCAAAAAAGATAAAAAGTAGCTGATTTAGGTAATAATTACACAATTACATAAAATATACTCTCATGTCAACTATTAAAAATTTCCACCCAAAAAGGCTACTGTCCTAGGGCTATAATCCATTTAACCCTGTAGTTAGAATGGTCTAGATGAGGACAGAATATGGCCCACCAGTTCTACCACTGATCTATATCATTCCAACAAGCACTTTCGAACAGTGTAAAACTGGTCATAACGTTTTGGCTAATTGATGTATATGAAGCACTAAAATTATACTTATTTGAACAAAGATTACTGAGCAACTAACATGAAATGAACTTCTGAAATAATATATAATGCAATTAATAAATTACCATGCAGTGCATTATATTTTTTCCCAAGAATCCAAACAAAATCCAAAGTAAATGGGAAATCTTTGAATTCTTTCTTTAAAAGTTCAACAGATGTTTCTCCTGAAATAAAAATCACAATTCTGAATCAAATCAAATATGATATTAGCTAAGTAACCTTAAAATTTATAACTTGACTATGGAACTGATGAAAGTAATCATCTGAAAACATTGCTTATATGGTATGGTTGTAAGTTTAGAAGATTTGGGGGGGGAGGGATTTTTAGGGGACAATAAAGATTGTGATATACAAAGTGTAAATTGGTTTTTTGCAAAACTTTCTAGAGTCTCCAGAAAAAAAGGGCACAATGGGAGGTCTTAGTCAGAAGTAACCAGTTAAAAAAATGGCATTGTTTTTAAATTGTTTGTACCAAAAGAGAAAAATCCAAAATGGCTAAATGACTATGTCTTTTATCTCTATCTGGCTCAAAAGCAGAGGAAATATGAAAAAATTTGTTAGTAAAAGTCATCATTCTTCATGCAATTGAGCTATAAATACATCTTTAAGAAATGAAATAAGCCCTTTTGTTTATTAACAGGACAGCTGGTCAAAATCTCTAGAATCAGTAATTTAGTAAATCATTCTTATTGAAGAAAGTCATTGCTGTTGCAAATTCTTTTTATTCTAAGTAGTTGGATAGTAATTGTATTTATAATGATTCTTTTAAAGATGTTAGAATTCTAATTCGTGAGTTTTAGATTGTAAAACTTGAAATCTCTTCTTTTATCATAATTTTTTTAATTTTTGTAATTTAGTATATGTAGATCAAGGTAGATGATGTCTTTATGCTGTAGGCTAGTATTGTTAAGTCAAGTAGGACAGATATTGGCACGCTTGATTTGATTAAAGTTATGCTGCTCTAAATCAAGTGATAATTGAAATTTATATTCTTGTGTGAAAAGGGATAGATTACAGAATGCTGAAGAACTACTAGAACCCATAAGAATTCTGTGTATTTGCTTAAAAAATGTATTATTAAATTTGAGATAATCATTAACTAAGACACTTCTTAGGAAAAGCTTTCTTCTCTGGAGACAATTCTAAGAATTTGCATAAACAAATCAGGGAGTGTAAGCATTAAGTTTTTTAGTAAAAAGATAGAAAATTTCTTTCAAAAAGTTTCTTGTACCATTTGCAATGAATCCGAATTTTACTGGAGTTTTGTGAAATTCAAGAAGTGCATAGAGATTTGAAAACTTATTAAATTAGTTGTTGGGACAAATTTTAAGTCTTCTATTTAAAGCGCTGAACTTTTTTTGAAGGATTATATCATTGGTATTGATATGCTGATAAGTGTTGGTACTGTGGAGTTCTTGCAAAATTAAATTGTAGTAGAATTTTTTACAGAATATACGGAAGTTATTACTAGCTATGTCTATTTTATTAATAATAAATTTATCTCTCAGCTTTTGAATTTTAACTTCTAGAGCCTTTTTATTGTGAATTTGTTGAAAGAGGGGCAAGTTGCTGATCCATTTGACAAAATCTTTTATCAAAGCATTTTTCCATTCCAAAAAGGTAGTTATTAGCAAGTTTGTAGGGTAACTAGCATAAACTATGAAGGTATTTAAATCATTACTAAATTGCTGTATGCTAAATTTTTTGGTATTTTTTTTTGGGGGGGGGAAGGTTAAATATGGAATTTAGCACCAAGCTGTATTAAATTTCTTAATTCTTGATCCTGTACAATCTTTAAATTTCCTGTGACGATGTGTTGGTGAAAAGGATCCACATAAGTACTGTATTCTGATAGTTTGCACTCTCAGCTATTTTGAGCTATAATTTCATGGTGGTTGGTGATCATATTTCTGAGTGTTTTAATGAATTTGTAATAAGGGATCACTTTGAAGTGCTTAGTAGGCAAAAGATTTTGATGCTTGATAAAAGTCTGATTAATTTTGATTCCATCATAGTATGGGTGCTTGAAATGAATAGTACAAAATATCTTTTTGTGGAGAAAACTACTTTTTTTTCAATTTATAATTGCAAAAGTCAAGTATTAGATCTTTAGCAATCCAGTATTCAGTGTAATTGTCCTTAACAAAGTTGAGAATTTTCCATAATGTATTGTTTTTTAATGTATAATGCAAATTTATTACTTTCTTTGGTGAAGGACTTTTCATGAAAGAATTCAGTAAACTTTTTAATTACGTTGTCTATTTCCTTTATGGGAAAAAAAGCGTCTAATTTATGAACTTCCTCCTCTTTTTTTACTAAAAATTCTATATTGCCCGTATATTGAGTCTTCTTTTTGGTAGATAGCAGTTTTGTTAAGATAAGAGCCAATAAGGGTAAAGTGATCTGTTCTGTAGAATGCAAATTGATTTTTTAAAGAGTCTTAACTTTGTGTTAGGAATAATATCCAAAATAGCTATTTCGATATTTTCAAAATTATGGTACTGAAAATGCTCCAGAATGGCGGTTTTGTTGTTTTCATTGAAATTTCCTAAACGGAAATTTTTAAACTTTTTTAGTTTTGTCATTAATTCTCAGACTGAGGAAGTTTCTAGTCTGTCCAATGTAAATTAGATTACATTCTTTTCATGTGATTTGTTAAATACAGTTAAAGGTCTTTCAGAGTGTCTGTTGATGTTTTTCTTTGGTAGGTAAAAGCATCGCATTTAATCTACATGTTTTATAAAGCAAATTGTTTCATTCTATATTTTGAATACTTTTTAACTGAGCTCGCTATAATTGTAAAGAGGAAGCTAGCCTACTTTACAGTGTATTTTTTGGAAGGAAAAACTCACCTTTTGCAGAAAATGAAAATAAGAAAAACCCCCAAATAACTTTACAGCTAAAGATGGGGTAAAAAAAACCTAGTAAAGAATGTGAAATTTAGCAAGAAAAAAAATTTTTTTGCACTTAAAGCTGCTAAAAAGAGACTATTCAAGATATAAAAAGTAGTCAAAAGGTGTCTTTAAAAAAACAAAAAAGCTAATTAGACATAAAATTAGCACTATCAGCTGCTAAATTTTAAAAAAATAAATTCAAAATAGTATAGAATTTAAAACCCAACTAATGCCACTTAAATATTTGAAAGCATCCTTTTTTTTTTTTTTTTTTTTTTCCTTGAAACATATTGTAAAAGTGAAATATAAAAAAAGGCAAGTGATAAACTAAATACATTATTACTGGAAACATGGAAAAATTACAGTAACAAAAATGTTTGTTAATCTCCTCTGTTTAAAGCTTCAAACAGAATTTATCAAGGGGAAAATGTTTTGAAGCTTCAAACCAAGCTGATCAACTAGAAAATGTTAACATGTTTTGTCCTAATGAACTCAATGAGACTTTAAACAGTTTAAATTGATTTAACATTAAACAAAGGAGTAAATTCATTAATGAATGAATTAATTGTTAATTTATTTAACATTAAACAGAGGAGATTATTAACATTAAACTTATTTATTTACATTAAACAGAAGAGGATTTAACATTAAGCAAAGGAGATCATCAACATTAAACAGATGACTCATTAAACAGAGCAGATTAACAAAACTTTTTGTTACTCTAATTTTCCCATGTTTTCAGTAGTAATGCATTTAGTTTATCACTTGCCTTTTCTTATGTATTTTACGTTTACAACATGTTTCAGGAAAAAGATAGGATTCTTTCAAATATTTAAGTGACTTTAGTTGGGTTTTAAATTCTACACTATTCTGAGTATATATATATATGAATAACATGGAATATATGGGATTTATATATATGTGAATATATATATATCAATATAAAAGTCTTCACTAATACTTCTCACTTTCACTAAAAATACTTGTATTTCTCAAGAAAATTTTCAGAAAAAAATTAATTTTCCATGTTTTTGTTCTTCAGAGGTTTTTTCATCTAATCTTCATACAGTTACTAATTTAGAAGACAAACAACAAAAATCAGCGTTATATTTACAAAATTTTCACAGGACTAGTTTCGATGGTTTACCGAACCACCACCCTCAGCTGCAAAACCGCAAATGAACAAGATACGAAAAAATGATTAGATAAGATAAGAAAGCCTGGACAAGAATAAGCAAGTGGCACCATCTGTTGGTGAAACCAGAACTAAAACGTAATTTCTTTAAAGGCCGAAGGCAAATTTGGATTGGAATTAGGATCATTAACTAGAACAGAAAGATTTTTATGAATGTGAAATGCCTCTAGAAAATCCAGTTCTCCAATGGAATATGTTTTTCGAATAATTTTGGCAGCAGAAAAATTGAAAGTGTGATTTTCGGACCAACAATGTTGCGCAACAGAAGACTTCTGTGTTTCCTTTTTTCTAGCATATGCCTCATGTTCCTTGACGCGAAATTTTAAGGCTCTCTTAGTTTGGCCAATGTAAATTAAACCACACTGGCAAGGAATTCTATAAATACCCCAGGAATTCATATCCGGAATGGGTTCCTTAAGTATGGAACTCGGAATTTTATTGATGGGAGAATAAACAACCCGAAAGTTAAATTTCTGCAAAATATGTGCAACTTTATAGCTAATTGATGGAAAGAAGGGAATGACAACAGAATTTTTATAATCTCCTAAAACAAGAGTGTGCCTTTTAGTGTGTTGAGATGAGAATTTTTTAACTGCTTGATTAATAATGTTGGGTGAAAAGCCCCTGTCAATAGCTATTGCTTTTAAATAATTTAGTTCTTCATCAAGGGTTAGTTTGGAGGAGCAAACTTGAAGAGCACAGAAAACATAGAAATAAAATGAAGCCATTTTGTGATTGCATGAGTTTCGGTAAGTACTTTTTTGCAATTTTCAAGTTATGTTTATGTTTTGTATATTTGGATATTGTGCTTTGCTTGTATGATTTCATGCATTTTGCTTACAAACGTTTTGTGTTCTATTCATTTTAGTGAGGGATTTTTCTGCTGTTTTGTGTGTGCTTTATTATTGCTTAGTTAATTTAGTTTGATTTTCTGCATTGTTTATCATGCCCTCATCCGTTAATCGCTTCACTAAATTACGCCTGAAATGACAAAAATTCCTGAATCATCTTGACTTTTTACTTAAATGTAAATGTAAAAAATTGATCCTCAATTTTATTCAAATCAAATCTAATC